AGGAGACATACCATCATTCTTTCACTTACCCCACGTTAATCATTTTGGTTGTTGATATGCCCAGGGAATGACATTAATTTTGAAGGCCATTGTTTCTTATAACATCTCTTTTCATATGAATTCTACCAATCTTATTTGTTTGCTAAAATAAAAACTACTTGATAAACTGACTAACATCAGATCACATGCTGCCTAATCAGAAAGATTCTCTCACAGGCAAAAGTAAATGCGTCTAACTACATTTGTCTAGATTTTCTAAATGCTGCCATTCATTCTACTATCAATTTGTAGAGGATAGACTTTGCTGCAAAAGCCCTGAAATATTATTGATTTCAGTCAGAAAAAGAGGCTAATACTAATTTAGAAGATCTGCCTAAGTGCTTATTGTAGAACCTAAAAAACCTCAGATTACAAAGTACATTTCTTCAGTGTGTCAATATCAAATTGCCCTTGGTAGAAACAGTTGCTGACATCTAATTTATTTCTGAGAGGTGATACTGAAATTTGCTAAAGATGATCATGCATTCTGTATCATTCTGCAAATGTGGATTTCTGTGTCACTCACATTGTTAAACAAGCAGTGAACTAGGAAGCCAGCCCACTTTATGTTCTGGCATTAGGCTCTTCACAGAAACCACCAGTGACCCAGTTTGTACTTAGTGTGGAAAACGATGAAGATGAGCTGTGTTTTACTGCTGGCCAAGAGAACGGTTTACATCTGTGGCATAAACTATTTTGTGTATGGAGCTCAATGAGTGCACCATTTTTAATGAGGCTTTCGCTGCTGTGTGCATCACTGACAACACAATCTCATCCAAACAGCTGCAACCATGAAGACGCCACTTAGCTGGCAGAATTTTTGTTATATGTTTTGACTAACAGAATATCAATAAGTCCATCAGAAACCATGGAGTTGTTTGTTTTGTCTTCATTGGAGAGGTCTCCAGTGCAGCTGTAAAGCTAGAAAATGCTGAAACCTTCGTCAGTGTGAGCTACATCAGTGGTGAGGCTTACTAGCCACGCAATGTGAATCTGTTAGCTTGCTGTCCATTGATTGATTAGAGGCCTATAAATTAACAAAAGACTAGTTTAAAAAAGTGAGACAAATTATTCTTATTTGGTAGATAAAAAAATCTCTGTGAAAATGGAAAAATCAAATATCAAAGTCATGAAACACTTCATTTTTCCAGAATGTGAGTAATTTCTTAAACTTCACTGGAGCGACAGTCTTTTGTAGACTGTCTTTGAAGCCCCTGAATGCATTAATCAACAGACATCAATCCCACTTCGTGTCATCTCTTATTGTGAGAGACTTGCTCGCTTTGATTTAGACTTAATTATGTTCCATGCTTTGGGAAATTCTGTTATGTGCATGTGCACTGAATATCAGACTTAAAATAATTCCGTGGCGACAGCTGATGTGCTACGTATGCAGCGCTGGCTGGTACGGTGCATTTTCACAAACAGATTAGATTCAAATTGTATTACATTAGCAGAAGAAGGTGACAAATAGATAAACATTTAGACTGTAGGTAAGAGTGTCCATTTAGTGTGTTACTCTGGTTTTGAAGGTGAATCACTTTTGAAGCTGAATTTTCTATTTGTGCTTATTAGCAAATGCTGATTTTTAAAAAATTTTTTCTTTCCTTGGCATGTGTGACTAAAAAAAATATGTTAGTCACTTTTGAGTTCTGGAATATGTTTTGATGTTTTATGCTGCCAGTTTCTACTTAATTTGGGGATGACTAAAAAAGCAGCTAATTCTGATACGTCATTACAAGCACTCCTAATTAAGTTAGTTGATGCATGAGTCATTTGCCTCTAGATCTTTTGTTTTCATTTAATTTGAAGAAAATACAGTGTTTTTTACATTTAGTATCCTAAAACTGGAACAAAATTAGTCTTGTGATCTAGCATTTAGGTTGGGAAATTCTAAAACTAAGGTTGCCCAGGCGTCTTATACATGAGACACTGAACATACTACATCACGTTTCCCAGTCAACTGTTGCCACTGCAGTACTTTAAAGAATCTGCAGAATTTCAACAAATTCACAGATGCAGGGTGTCTGTACTGGTGTGAAGTCCGAAAGGTCAGTTTAATACCTCTAAACCTTGTTAGTACAATGGAGATAGGCACAGTGGAATTAAATTCCTCACCATACAATTATTTCCTGACATAAAGTCCTTGAAAGACCTTTGCCAGTAGGTAAGCAAGGAGTCCAGCTCCTGATTTAATAGAAAAGGCTCCCTGACCACATTCCCATCTACTCTCAGCAGGGTATTAGGGACATCTTTGTGAAAAAGAAACCTGTCTGTCTTTTCTTCGTTAAATTTTCACCTTATTTATTTTTTCTTATGAGTTTGATTCTGTGTGTACATATAAACATGCTGCTACTTTTCACTCCTGTCAAATGCACCAGAGAAGGCAGCTGACATTGCTGTAGTAACCAGAACTACTCCAGTTTCCTTCCAACTTAATTTCTGAAATGTAAAGATGCGTTCAGACTTTTAATAGCTATGTAAATGTCATGTGTAGTCCTGTTCACATAATTACATATCTTATAGACATAGACAAGCACAAACATGTTCATACACAGTAAAACTTTACTGGTCAAAAAGAAAATTAATCCTTTGCGCTTGGAAATCCAGACCTCGCTGAAGCTGGCAGAGGCCTTGTCTCCAATATCAGTGGAGTTATGATTGCATGCTGAAATTGAGAAAAGGGGGGGGGAAATATTTTCTCAACCTGCTTTTTCATGGCATTTTGGAGGTCTGCAATTCTACAATATGTGTTGGTCTGGTGAGCAGCAAATACTTACTGAAAAATCCATGATCTTATAAAAACAATTTCATAGCAAACTGTAGACATTTGGAATAATTAGGCAGTATCTAATTTTTCTATTTTGGAATTTTTTTCAAAATCTGAGAAATGGGATTTTGAGTTCATTTGGGCTCTTGTACAAGTAGTTTTATTTTTCAAGAACAATAAGAGAAATTTATTTATATAATGAATGCTGTATTTCTGAATGACATCAATACAAGCTTATGAAATTTGCAAAATTTGGAAATATTATGGCTCTTTGTTCCACTTTCATGTGGGCTACTATAGCTTTTTCAAAATAAGGAAATCTTCTCAAGGAGAGAGAGTTCATCTCTTAAGGTGTATCAATTGTATTTCACACTCACCACTGAATGCTTTGTTTCACATCAGTTTTTCAATAAAATCTAGTAACTCACTAAGTACCTAAAATAGGAATTTTCATATGTGTAGGCAGAAGCTAATTATACCTTACATCTAAATGCCAACACTATTGATATTTTCTTTTTTAACAAGACTCACAAAATAAAACCAGTTTTGACTATTTGTTAGATGTTGGCTAACATCTTTTTTTATTGTTCCTGTGATATTTTTGTTCCAAGATAGCTACCCAAGGTGTTTGTATTCCAGTTTTTCCTGTTATCTGCTATCTTCGGGGAGGAAAAAAACAAGTTAGCTGTCTTGAGAGTTATGTAATGAATTAAAAAAATATAGAATCATTTAGATTGGAAAAGACCCTTAAGATCATCAAGTCCAACCAAATTACTTCTTGACTATTACTTTCTATGAACTGCATGGATGCACATAAAACTAAGTCTACAATTTGCATTTGTAGAAGCATAAAAGGAGAAGCTTGTTACCGTGTTATTCCGAAGCACAGGTCCTCATCAGCCTGTGGAGTTTAGCACTCGGTTACAGGCTTGAGATCTGACTCGTGTCACACCAGCACACCAGTTTTATTCTTGTGTGGCTGCATTGACTTCAGAATGCCTACACCTGATTTATGCCAATACGAAGCCAGAGTCAAATCTCACGTGTAAAGCATAAGTGCCAATCAGAATACGAAGCGCTGAGATGATGTCAAGTGATTACAGGACGAAGTTTATTAAAGCTGTCTGTTGTGCCATGAGTGTGTTGCTGCAAACTGATAGCTTGACACAGAGGCTGCAGGTATGTTCAAGTTTGGTTAAGGCTCTACCTGGAAAGTTCATAAGTTAATTTAATGTCAACATTTGTGCGTACTTTTTGCAATCAGAATATAAAATGTTAGCCAACGAGGCAGTAAGAAAAATATCAAACTTCATTACTTTTTGCTGATTTGGGACTTACTCCAAGCTATTCCTGAAAGCAAGGTGTGTTTGTTGCATCTCAGGAAATAGTTAGTACCTTTGCAGGATCAAAGTTGCTAGCTGTATTTGTAATTTAAAGTGTAACATGAAACATTGTCATTTTTGTAAGCTAACAAAATAAATTATTTTTCCAAGCAGTGCATAGCATCTGTATTCATTTGCCTAATGCTGCCAAATTTCTGTAAAGACCTGTTTTATGTAATTGATCATTTTTGTTTTGTGTGAAATCTAGATGTGTGATGTGGATTTATGCTGTCCAGTGATGCTTTTTAACTTGCCTTTTAGAACAACAATATGCTCTTGGATTTTTTTCTTTGTTTTCTTTCTTCTGCTATAAAATTTGTTTAAGAACTGAGATGGCAGTATGATGGTGAGAATCAGTGATTTCCTTCAGAAGTGTGTGTTTAAAACACTTGTTTAGGTGAAAGATTTGTTTGCCATTATGGACAAAAAAAAAAAAATCTGGCATATTATAGTGTTGCAATAGGGGCGGGTCTTTACATTCGCCATGAATGAGGTGTGCTTGAACGGGACAAGGCTGTTGTGCCCATGGCCGCTTACAGAGTGTGCATGAGATTCCTTTGGCTGAATTTGGGTTTGGACGGAACACATGCCTCCATCTAAACGATCCTGCCTTTGTAGCCAGCAGAGTACCTGGGATCTAGGGCACCATGCATCTCAACCCAGAGTAAACATGCGGGGTTTGGTCAAATGAATTGCAGTGAACTGCTCTAACTGTGTTGACTAGATCTCCATCGAGCAGAAAGGGAAAGCTGACAGCTACCTTAGATGCCTATGCCTGCATTATAGGCACAAGTCAGGTGGGGTTCACCATGCCCACCCTCAGGGTGGGGTCTAGCCATGTGTGTTTCATCTGGATTCCAGGGTAAGTTCTTCATTACCTCAAATAAAAGATACCGCTGGAGTCAGTGGAATGGGATGCAGTTAAACATGCAAACAGATTGAGCCGTCGCAGTATTTAATGGAACAAAAAATCATTGTTGCTGGGAAGTTCCACAGAGCTAAATTTCCATGGAAGCATTTCATGGAAAAGCAAAGCCTTGCATTATATTTTTAAATACAAAGTAAAACCAAAAATAGAACAGTATGTGTTGCATCATTCCATATAAACAAGTTTTCTTATTCTAGTTTCTCACGACAAGATGGCCACGCTACAGTTTCTTTATATCCTGAGAAATCACTCATTGAAAGCTTATAATTATTTTACTAATTCAGTTCTCCTCAATGACATATTCCCTTGCCTTTTGGAGTTAAGAGGTTTTGCATTTAGTGATCTGCAGTTGTTTTATGGCAAACATCTTTTTTCCATTTCAGACCATTTTTTCACTGACCTTGGTGTCTGCAGAGTTGTTTCTTTCACGTATTCTCACTCCTCTCTTCTGCAGGTTTTTTTTTTCCCCCTTCTTAGATATGTTATTCCAGAGGTGCTACCACCATCGCTGATGGGCTCGGCCTTGGCCAACAGTGGGTCCCTCATGGAGCCGGCTGGTATTAGCTTTATCCGACATAGGGGAAGCTTCCAGCAACTTCTCGCAGAATCCACCCCTGTAAACTCCCCACTACCAAAACCTTGCCATGCAACCCTGATAGACATCAGTATGTTGTTCTAATTTTGCCTGTAAAAGTAAGGTCAGTAGGGTTGAAAAAGCAGCTGATACTTGACAGTGCCCTGTAGCTATGGCAACAGAAATCATGAACTTACAAGTTTTTGTACACACAAGCAGTACGTGGACAGGAATAGTCACTGATGCCAAAGAAATAGCATCAAGGACAAATTTCACTGTGAAGTGTGTGTTTTATATTTTATTAAGGCAGATATTTTACAGAAATATGAATACATTCTTGCATTAAAAAAAGAACGTTTGAAAGGAACAGTTAGTAAATGACATTAACTAATTATATCTTTTTGTTGGATGTAAAACAGTGATCTTTGGCTCCAGCTAATGCCAGCCCACTGCTAATCCAGTTTTCTGGGGTTTTAGGGTGGGTTGGCCTAAAACACACTAAGTTGTAATAGCTCTCGGCTGAGATTATAAAAAAAAATAAAGCATAAGGAACTTGGCCACCACTTTTCTTGATAGACTTCTCAACAGTTTTTGCCAGCTTCCATAATTTAACCTAGAAGATCTGGCCAAATTGCAATTTAATTTGTTGCATATACTTATTCTACCCTCTAGCAGTTCACTAGGATACGGAATTCTTTCTTCGAATCAAAGTTTGCATTTTTTGCACCGCTGTTTTCTGTGGGAGGAAGGATAGATTAGTCCAAAAGCGATCAGGGCAGGGAAATACAATGGAGAAACTGAGTGATATGAACTTAGAGTTCTCCTATGCTCTATATACCTGACATAGTTATGTAACTTTCCTCTGTCTCATAGAACTGATTTCTGAAGCATAAGGCCATTGATGTGGTTATAAATCTATAATTGTAGTATAACTATATAATATATACAATCTGTACTAAGATCTATAATCGTATTTGTTGGTCCATATTTTTTAATCACATTGCTTATAGATCAATTATATGGTCTTAACAGTAGTAATGATATGGAGAAGGAGCTTGAGGGTATTCATAGAATCATAGAATGGTTTGGGTTGGTGTCCTGGGTTCGGCCAGGACAGGGTTAATTTTCACTGGACTCCAGGAAGGGGCACAGCCGGGCGGGCTGACCCCACCTGGCCAAACA